ATCTATCCATCCATCCATCCATCCATCCATCTATCTATCTATAATCTGACTCTATCTATCAATCCATCCATCCATAATCTGACTATCTATCCATCCATCTATCCATCCATCCATCCATCTATCTATAATCTGACTCTATCTATCCATCCATCCATCCATAATCTGACTATCTATCTATCCATCTATCCATCCATCCATCCATCCATAATCTGACTATCTATCCATCCATCCATCCATCCATAATCTGACTATCTATCCATCCATCCATCCATCCATAATCTGACTATCTATCCATCCATCCATCCATCCATAATCTGACTATCTATCATCCATCCATCTATAATCTGACTATCTATCCATCTATCCATCTATAATCTGACTATCTATCCATCTATCCATCTATAATCTGACTATCTATCCATCTATCCATCTATAATCTGACTATCTATCCATCTATCCATCTATAATCTGACTATCTATCCATCTATCCATCTATAATCTGACTATCTATCCATCTATCCATCTATAATCTGACTATCTATCCATCTATCCATCTATAATCTGACTATCTATCCATCTATCCATCTATAATCTGACTATCTATCCATCTATCCATCTATAATCTGACTATCTATCCATCTATCCATCTATAATCTGACTATCTATCCATCTATCCATCTATAATCTGACTATCTATCCATCTATCCATCTATAATCTGACTATCTATCCATCTATCCATCTATAATCTGACTATCTATCCATCTATCCATCTATAATCTGACTATCTATCCATCTATCCATCTATAATCTGACTATCTATCCATCTATCCATCTATAATCTGACTATCTATCTATCCATCCATCCATCCATCCATAAACTGACTCTATCTATCCATCCATCCGTCCATAATCTGACTATCTATCTATCTATCTATCTATCTATCTATCTATCTATCTATCTAGTGTTTGTGAATCTTTATAAAAGGTATAATAAAATATATAGAAATTAAAAACGTTATTAACATATGCAATGCATGTGCAACTATCTATCTAGTGTTTAAAAGTAGTATGTTTTTTGTTTCTGAAAGAAGTCTTTTCTGCTCACCGAGGCAGTCTTATTAAATTATTTATGTCATATAATTGCTTGTCAAACTAAATGTCTTCAAATTAATTTGGAAATTATTTTATTTTATATTTTATTTTGACCATTTAACCATTTGACCATTGTATTTATTTAAATACAAATACAGTAAAATATTCTGAAATATCATTACAATCTATAATAACTGTTTTCTATTGTAACATATTTTAAAATGTAATTTATTCCTTCATGCAAAGCTGAATTTAAGCATTTTACTCGTTTTATTTTATTATTTGGCCCATTTCATTTGTTGACTAATTTGTAATTTTTTTCAGTTAATAAAATAAAAAATAAAATAAAAAGATTTGAAATCGGATTTAAAAACATTTAGTTTGACAAGCAATTATATAACATAAATAAATGAATAAGACTGAATCTCAAAAACAATTTACTATACAAACAAAATCTGTTTTTGGACTACATATAAATTATATACAAATAATAATAAATTAAAATAATAAATTACTTTACTGTAGGCTAAACCTAATGTCATGAATATACAAAAGAAAAAAAATGTGAAAAATAAATAGTCAACTAATTAAATGAGCCAAATAATTATAAAATAAAATATAAATAAATATATAAATAAAATAAAACACAAAATAAAATGCGGAAAATTCAGCTTTGCGTCACATGAATAAATTACATTTTAAAAAACATGCTGATTTGCTGCTCAAGAAACATTTCTGATTATTATCAATGTTGAAGACTTTGATAGGCTTCATATTTTTGTGGAAACCATCATATCTGTTTATTCTTCAGGATTCACAGATGAATAGAAAGTAAAAAAAAAAAAACAGCATTTATTTGAAATACAAATCTTTTGCAACATTATAAAATTCTTTACTGTCACTTTTGACCAATTTGATGCATCCTTGATGAATAAAAGCATTAATTTCTTAAATAAAATCCTCCTGACCTCAGGCTTTAGAAGGGTAGTGTGTATATATAGTTGTCTGAGGTTTGAATAGTGTGATAAGGTTCAGCCAGGCTAGAGGATGGACTCACGCGTCCGTCCAGCGAGAGCAGGATGGAGTCGCTCTTGATGTCTCGGTGTATGACCCCCTGCGAGTGGAGATACGCCAGCGCCTGCAGCACAGCCTCACACACGGTCGCGATCTGCTCCTCGCTCAGCCTGAACACAAGATCAGCCGCACGCTTACACAACTGTCCCGAGCTCTTCTTCATGCACCTGCTGTTTTTACAGCTCCTTCTGATGCTGCATATTAGTGCTGTTTACTAAGTGTGTGGCATCTCATTTTTCACTCGAGACAGGAAGAAACCACTAAAAAACACCCAGAGCAACCTGCATAACAACACTTCAGCACCATAATGGTGAGTTTTGAACTTCAGAAAATGTCAAAATCTAGTCTGATTCCTGATGTTTTCATCCACACCTGACAGATAAATAATCGTTTTGAGTTCAAAAACAGACTTTGTTTGTCTGGAAAAAAAAAAACTTTTTGAGATGCAGGCTTATTAATTTATTCATGCACTATAATTGCTTGTCAAACAAAATGTCTTCAGATCATTTGAAAAATATTTTATTTCATAATTTTATTTGGCTCATTTAATTTGATGACAAATTGTTATTATTATTATTTATTTTTATTTTTTTTTATATATATTTATGAGATTAGATTGAGTCTGCTGTAAGAATGCTTAACTTCTTAAATTCTACATAGTTCAAATTCAGCTTTTTGTGACACAGGCTTAATAATTTATTCATGTCATATAATTGCTTGCCAAAAAAAAAAATCTTCAAATCAAGTATGAAATTTTTTATAAAAAAGTATATCAGTATAAAAATGATTTAATTTTATTTTATTTTAAATTATTTTATTTTTATTTAATTAGGCTAATTTCGCTTGTTGACTCATTTCATTTTTTTCTTTTGTATATTCATGACATTAGGTTTAACCTGCTGTAATATTTTGTAGGAATGTTTTGGTTCATTTATTATTATTTATATATTATTCACATTATTATTCATAGACATATCAATACAGATATTCACTTGAGATGCAGACTTATGGATTAATTCATCAGTCATATAATTGCTTGTCAAACAAAATGTCTTCTAGTCAGTATAAATTTGTTTTCTAAATGATCTTATTTTATTTTTATTTTATATAAATTTTTATTATTTTATTTAAATGTATTTTATTTTTCTATTTATTTATTTATTGTTTTTTATTTTATTTTAAATTATTTTTTATTTTAATATTATATATTATTATAATAAATAATATTATTTAATATTATTAAATAATATTATTTATTTTATTTTTTGGCTCATTTAATATGTTGACTAATTATTTTTATATATTTTTTTTCTTTTGTCTATTCTATTGTATATTCATGACATTAGGTTTAGCCTGCTAATAGGTACTCAATAAAGTCAACTTTTTGAGATGCAGGCTTATGGATTAATTCATGTCATATAATTGCTTGTCAAATAAAATATCTTCAAGTCAGTGGCCTGATTCTTGAATGCAGTCGTGCTAAACTTAACTAAAGCTGCTCTGCTCGGAGTTGTTGTTGCTCTCTGGCTCTGTGTGTAAAATCGATGGCGTTTGCTAACGTGTCGGTTCAGTGTCTGCTGCTCGGGTCAGATCTCGTGCCAATTCCAGTTTGCCGTCTCGAGTCTGAGGAGACGGGACATACAGCCGCGCTTGTGTGTGATCGTGTAAGCGCTAATCTGATTGTCTAATCAAATTAAAGTCAGCCGTAGAGTGTCAGAATACACACACAGCTCAGAGCGGATCCATGACTTAACTGTACATCACCCTCTTGTGGTATGAATAAAATACTACAGTAATAGTACAGTACATGGAGTCAGTAGCCTATCTGGATTAACTATGAGCAGAGACACTCGAGCGCAGCCTGAGGTTGTGTTTTGCTCATCCAAACAGCAGAATTGCAATCACAGTGCATTAGCATTAAAAACGGTGACCTTAAAGTCATATGACATGAAAATGGACTGAAAATGATTTCCTTTAATCACATTTCTGGTCTTGTTGTAAAAGATTCATCATTACATGTTGTCTGTCTTCACCATCTTTCAACCATTAGCTGGCTGCAAATAATGTGCATATTATATTATTTTCTATTATATTTTATTATTTTATTTTAAATAATAAAATATATTAATAAAATTAATAAAAGCGTTGATATTAAATATTACATTATATATTTTATTACATTATTTTAAGTTATATTGTTTTATTTTAAATTATGTATTATGTTCTAATCTATTCACTCAAAAAACAAAACAAAAAAAAAACTTTGGGTCAAATATGGACTAACCCAACTTTTCAAATTTAATGTAAAATTTTAACCCAAAGTAGGGTTGAAACAACCCAGCATTTTTAGATAGAATTTTTGATTATATTACATGATATATTATATTGTGTTGTATTATTTTAAGTTATATTGTATTTTTATTATATGACATTATTTTAAATTGTTATATTATATTATGATATTAGTTTTTACTTATATATATATATATTATATTTTATATATTATACATATATTCATTTTAAATTTTTATATATTTAATATTGTATTATATAATTTTATTTTATTTTAAATTCTATTTAAATTATGTATTATATTGTATTATATTATATTATATTATATTATATTGGAAACAAAATGTAAAATAAATGTTTATTCAAGATCATTTATGCTTTTATTTTATTTTGATTTCATTTCAATCTGATTTCAATTAAAAAGGTCACTAATGAACTTTCCATTAGTAATAAGTCATAAATTCAGATTTGATTTGAATTGATTTTTGGTCAAAGGTATTTTTAAAAAGGGTATCTCATAGAGTCTTTAACTAGAAGACTAACCTACCCATGTTAAAGCATATTTCTCATAAATCCTATAGAGATCACAATGAAAACATAAACCTCTAGATTAACTGGGTAAGAAATCCAGTTCTCTCTTCTTTCATGAAACGGCTTTCCTAAATGAATGATGAGGTTGTGCTCTGGTACCTGGTCTCAGACACGATGTTTGTTAAAGCTCCTCCCTGCAGATACTCCATGATGACCCAGAGCTCCTCCTCCACCAGAGCGCTCTTGAACATCTCCACCACGTTCCTGTGCTGGTAATCTCTCATAATCACCACCTGAACACACACCAACACACCCTCATCAACACTCATCAGCATAGCGAATGCACAAAAATAAATCGGTTTGTTTAAGGGTCAGAAGTTGCTTTTGAAATGTTGCTGTTGAACTTTCCAAAAGTCATATCTCAATATATTCAAGTGGTCAAAGATGGTTTTTTTTATCCATAATCCTTTATTTTATTTATTATTTTATTTTATTTTATTTTATATATTATTTTATTTTTTTATTATTTTATTTTATTTTATTATTTTATATGATTTTATTTTATTTTATTTTATTTTTATTTATTTTTTTATTTTATTATTATTTTATTTTATTATTTTATTTTATTTTTTATTTATTTATTTTTTATTTAGACATTCAACGCTAATCGTGTTTACAGGGTTCCAAAATCTAATTTATATGTATCTATGTTTCATCTGTTTATTTGAATATGACTAACTTAAATAACTGAGTCAGTTCTGGCAGTATCTGCTAGTTTCTGTGCCTTGCAATAAATCATACACTGTGATTGAAAAATACATTAATAACCCTAGACATTTCCCTTTCAAAACACGTTTCTATCATTCAAAACATTTTGTGACTGAATGCTCTGGGGTCAGTGTCATCTGAAACCCTTTTCGCTTAAGTAACGTGATGAAACGCAATACTTAATGAGAAAAAAATCCATGATGGGACACTTTTAGATCAACAAATATGTGCATTTTAAATGGCCAATTCTATAGTCGGATATTGAATCTTTTCACATAGACAGTGAATGCATAATATTTACATTTAAAGGAATAGTTCACACAAAAAGGTCTTCACCCTCAGGCCATCCAAGATGTAGATGAGTTTGTGGACAAGTAATCCACAGCACTCCAGTCCATCAGTTAACATCTGGAGAAGATGCTTTCCAGCATTTGTTCCAGCTTTTGTCTTCTCCAGATGTTAACTGATGGACTGGAGTGCTGTGGATTACTTGTGGATTATTGTGATGTTTTTATCAGATGTTTTCCAAACCTGATGAAGAAACAAACTCATCTACATCTCGGATGGCAGGACGGTGAGCACGTTTTCAGTTTCGGATGAACTATTCCTAAAGCAATATTGGGGTTGTTTTGATTCATATTATGCTCGTTCGTTGTTTGACCTCATTGAAGAGCAGTTCTCTGCGCTGTTGTCTCCTGAGGTCCATCATCTTGACAGCCACCACCCGTCCGCTGTGTTTCTCGTGGGCGATGCACACCACACCCGTCGAACCCTCGCCGATCTTCACAAAGTTCTCCAGATACGAGCGCGGATCTCCTTTATCCACCACCATCTGCAGCGCGGCCTTGAACTGCTCGTGGGTGACTTTGGGCGGGTCGGGCGGGGGTCGGGGCGAGGGGTGCTGCGGGGGTCTGAATGCAGGCGAGCAGGTTCCCGGAGGGCTGTTGGCCAGAGATCCAGTGGGAGACGGTCGGGGCTGCGACGGGCTGTCCTGTCTGGGGTAGAGACCCGGGTTGGGGCAGCCGGAGTGTCTCATAAAGGGGTCTGGCCCGGTGGGCCGGTAACTGATGTTGGGCGAGAGGCCGATGGTGTAGCTGGAGGAGGAACGCACCGTTCTGTGAGGCCTGGTGCCACTCACGAGGGGACTGCTGGTGCCGCTGTGCAGATATCCCGGCTGGTGTCTCATGGCTGCGTCGGCCTGTGTGCAATAGAAATAAGGACATGGGCTGGTTTTCCTTTACTTTGTTTATCAACATGCATTCATCTGACAAACACTTTTCAAAGGGACTTACAGAGCATTCAAGATATTTTATTAGTATACAGTACTGTTCAGAAATTGGGGGTTTTAGTGTTTTTGAAAGAAGTCTCTTCTGCTCACCGAGGTTGCATTTATTTGATCAAAAATATTGTAAAAACTGTAAAATATTATTAGGGGTTCAAGCGCATAGTGCTGAATTCTCCGCTAAAACTGATCGTGCAGACCAAACCATAAGGCCTAGAGAGCTGAAACTTGGTCAGATGGTAGTAGTATTGACCGCTACTCAGATCCAAAGACTCGCCCCAATAGGCCTATGGGGGGGCGCTACAGCGATCGAAAACGCAAAACTGCTCATAACTCCTAGACCATTTGTCGTAGACTCAAATTGTACATTTTTGGAATCCTTGGGTCAAAACGCACAAAACTGCCGGATTTGCTCTACGAAGTCCGGTTTTTCAGCAAATTGAGTTATGTCCAAAACCTACTATTGTGAACTAGTCGTAGGTTTTTCACCCGATCGGAACCAAACCACTGCAGAAATATTCTTTTGACTGTGAATATCAGTAACTATGAAATTTCGACTCATCGTTGCATAGGGACGCCAAAACGTTCGTAAGGGGCCACTTTTACTAAAATGGCTATAACTCCTGAATGGAATGAGATATTTTCACCAAACTTGGTACACATGTGTAAGAGCTTAATCTTTGATCAAATAAAAAAAAAATGCAAAGCTCTGCCACTCATTGTGAGATAAAAAAAACTCAGAATTCTGAGAAAAAAAGTCAGAATCGTGAGATATAAAATCAGAATACCAAAAAAATCTAAATGGCAAGATATACATTAAAAAAATGATGAGAAAAAAACTGAATTGCGAGATTTCAAAGAATTCAAAGAAAAAAATTATAATCATGAGATGTAAATTTAGAATTTAGAGAAAAAAAGTCAAAATTGTGAGATATAAAAGCAGAATTAAAAAAGTTATAATTGCGAGATAATCAACTCGAAAACAATCAGAATTGTGATATAAAAACTCAGAATTACAAGAAAAAAATAAAAATGGCAAAAACAGAATTATGAGAAAAAAGGTCAGTATTATAAGATGTAAAATCAGAATTCTGAGAAAAAAAATTTGAATTACAGAATATAAACTTGCAATTGTGAGGGAAAAATTCAAAATCGCAAGATGTAAATAGAATTTTGGGGAAAAAAGTCATTACAGCAAGATGTAAACTAGAGAAAAACTCAGAATTACAAGAAAAAAATAAAAAATGTGAAATGTAAACTTAGAATTCAGAAAAGTCAGAATTGTGAGATATTAAATTTGAATTCAGAGAAAAACTAAAAAATCTGAGATGTAAACAGATAAAAAGCACATTTGTTAACCTGCAGCACAAAAGCAGTCTTAAGTCGCTGGGGTATATTTGTAGCAATAGCCAACAATACATTGTATTGGTCAAAATTATACATTTTTCTTTTATGCCAAAAATCATTAGGATATTAAGTAAAGCTCATGTTCCATGAAGATATTTTGTAAATTTCCTACCGTAAATATATCAAAACTTAATTATTGATTAGTAATATGCATTGCTAAGAACTTCATTTGGACAACTTTAAAAATGATTTTCTCAATATTTAGATTTTTTTGCACCCTCAGATTCCAGATTTTCAAATAGTTGTATCTCAGCCAAATATTGTCCTATCCTAACAAACCATACATCAATGGAAAGCTTATTTATTCAGCTTCCAGATGATGTATACATCTCAATTTCGGTTTTGTTTCAAAAAGCTGTTTGTTACCTTCAGGTCGTATGAGGAGTACAGTCTCCCCGGGCTGTTTTGCAGATGGACCAGCAGTCTGTTGACGGTCCTCATGTCCGGCGTCAGACCGTCTCCGTGTGGCATGGTGGGGCTATAGAAGCAGGTGATGGGTCTCTGGTTGTGCGAGAACACGATGGGGAACTCTCGTCTCATCATAAGAGGTGGCTCCGGGACGGGGATGGACGGCGGAGGAAGAGGAGGAGAGCTCATGCTGACCTCATAGGTGGATTTGGCGCGGGGCAGAACGCCATTGGGCTGCAGCATCACACTCTTCTTCAGACCCATGTACGGCGTGCCGCTCTCGCTGTGGATGTTGCGTGATTTATCGGCCCAGTGAGGGTCAGGCTCGTCCAGGGCTTCGTACTGATACACATCGGCCTCGCTGACCTCCCCGAGGCGGCCGAGCGACTGCGCTCTCTTGCGGGCCGACGGGCTGCTCTTGCGCAGGGAGTTGGAGCTGGTGACGGACAGACGGCTCATGTCTGACAGCATGGCTGATATATAGTCTCCGTGGCCGATCATGCTGCCGCACACGATGGTCTGGGGAAAGAACAGAGGCAGGCTGTGATTAATGCGAACTGAAACCGGCGCTATTTAAAGAGCGTGTGAATTCACCTGGGTGCGGATGAACTCCAAATCACACTTTCCTCCGAGGAGCCTATTTCTGGCTGATTTGTGTTTATGAAATGCTGAATGACTCGTCTGAGCTATCGCAGGACTGCTTCTCTTGCAAATGAAGACTAAAGCAAAAGGCTTTTTTTGTTGATTATTGATGATGCCATTTATGTCACCTGTATGTAGTTTTTCTATCTATTTATCTATCTATCTATCTATCTATCTATCTATCTATCTGGGATGGGAAGATTCCCCCATTCGCTCGGTGCATCGGCATAAAAAGTTAACGATGCGATGCATCGGTTTAAAAAGTGTGCATTGGATACAAGTTGGCTTTTGTATCACGATGCATCATTTCTAACATATTTGCATCGGTAAAAACCGATTTATTTGTATATAATTACTAGTGGATGCGCTATACTTTTATTATTTAGAAAGTGACCAATAATCTGTAACCAATATTTTATATGTAGATTGATTTCTCCTCTCAAACTGTTTCTCAAGCGCGCTCTCATCACCGCTGCTGCTGCACCACGGAGACCCGAGGAAAAACTGGGATTAAAGTCCAAAACCTGACTTGAAATAACATAACAAATCAATCGGGGCTAAAGCGGTTCCATTAAAGACTAATTAAATTCACACAATCTCACTAATTTGTGCACGTTTATTCTTAAGCAGACCTTAATGTCAATCATGGATCAAATCGATCCACCATGACAATCTGTGCTGTTTAATGCATTTGAGACGTTGTGTTTTCCTCAGTGCATAACTGACATGTCACAGGTATAATTTTCATCTGTAAATGTCAGAAAGTCACGCAAACATGTCCATTTCTCTGTCAGGAGTGGGCGAGGCTTACGCGAGTGAACGCATGCGCACTAAACAGACGGAGCGCAATAGAATAGTAGCGCAATAATTCTGAATAAAATATGCATTCTGCTCAAATATTTGTTGTTGGACATTAAATGTGTCTTTTGTAGAATTGTAAATCTACATATAAGTGTATTTTTATGATAGCAGTAACTGTAAAGGGACTTTTGTAATGGGTAAATCAAATGTAAGCTAGTTCAGTACTAATTACTAA